GAAAACATGTCGCGAATTTGTGGAGGTTTATTCCTTTTCACTGCGTCTCATATGTTTTTAAATGCAATCTGTGTGAATGGCGCTTCGGCTCTTTCTATTAAGCAATGCATAAATACATTATGCTGTTTTGTTCATAATTGTTTCTGCAATTTATGAAATTATATTTGATTTATATGAGTTAATGTAGACGCAATGCACGTTTTTTTATAGACTTATGCGTTCACAATTTAAACGTGCTGCATTATTTTGCTCATTGCGCCCTCCTTTGGCATCGGGAGACAAGACAAAAGTTTCCTTAAGACCCATTTAATCTGCATATAAAACATTAGAAATTAGATATTTGGTGTGAAGCCGCAACACCGGTTACGTCACTTGCCCACAGCGGCACCGCCCGCCACCGTGGTTTTGATTTTTTTACAGCAATAAAAATAATTTAGTTCAGTTAGTCACTACAGACACTACAATTAAAAACTGAATGCGGCTTCTCAATGAAGCGTGCCGAACGACAGTCGCATCACAGATCAGATTTAATTTACCACTTTGAGGAGAGTGAGTCGAGCTGACTGAAAAGAGTGAGGTGAGACAGACAAGACGATAGCGGGTGATTAGTTTTGAAATGAAATGCAAAAGCGCCTGTTTGGCAATACTTTGAATTTTGAAAAGCCTGCTGACTTTTGCCATTTATCTAAGGTGATATTGGAATTTTTTTTTTAAATATTCATTTAATTGGTTTCACAATGTTTGCTGATTTTTACTTCATTTAAACTTAATGTAATTTATTTTATTTGACATCAAGGTGTATGCCGTGCCTCCAAGCTTTCTTATTCATTTAGTTAATAAACGTTTTACGTTTCGTAGGCTATTTATTTGGTTCCACGGTGTTTACTTATTTTCAGTATTGTATAGTTCTACCTATTTAAACTTTGTGTAAGTTATGTTATTTTATATTAGGCATAGCTGAATTGCCGCTAATTCGAAAATTTTCTCGATGCATCGATTACAAACCCTGACGATGCATATGCATCGATCTTGAAACATGGAAATTTTGAATCGTGAATCGTCGATTTCGGACAGTAATCAATTTAAAACGCTAAGAATCAAATGAATCGCGATTTCTATAGGGATTCAATGCTTTCAAAATATATACACATTAAATTACTACAAGCACGAATTAATGGAGACCTTGAACAGTGTCCGTGCCCTCGCATCTCTCCTTCACGCGCTCCACTAACCGCCTGTGACTGTCACAAGATTGCGCTCGCGCTCCGTTTGTCTCACTGACACATTTTTTGAGCAGCTGATGTGTGGTCCTTTTCTTCGACTTCGTGGCAGTTAATGCAAAAGTGAAGTAGTTTTGTTAGTCACTGCTGTGAAGATTTTCTGCACTGTTGGGTAATGAAAACTGTACTGTGATGTGTATATATACTATACATGTTGTGTTACAATATATGTGACCCTGGAGCACAAAAGCAGTCTTAAGTCGCTGGGGTATATTTTAGAGCCCGACCGATATGGGTTTTTTGGGGCCGACACCGATATTAGGTAGTAAATAAACGCCGATATCGATATATCGTCCGATATTCTTTGTGTATATTATAGTACAGTACCAGTCAAAAGTTTGGACACTTTCCCATTCGTGTGTCCAAACTTTTGACTGGTACTATATATAGAATACAGCATTTACATAAACAGAATATATATACATAAACACATTTTTTGCAATGATCACTCAAATGTGGTGATCAAACACTTATAATGACGTGACAGAGATACTTAATGGAGGCAGGGCATTTAACAGTTTAACAATAAACTTTATTATCCAAAATGAGTCTGACATCAGTGCACTGAACAGTAAAGTTGAAGTTTATTCAACTTTAATTCAATTCAATTCCATTCAACTTTATTCCGTTGAAGTTTATTTCACTTCGGAACATTCATTCACGGATTTGCGCTACTGTCTTCACACACAGATGAAACTTACTGTGACAAGTGTGAAATGTGACATACCTCTGTAAATAAATATAAATGCATGTCTCGCGCACTTTAATGCCCTTTGAATGTAACGTGTATGTTCCCTTGGAACTGGAATCATGGCGGAATTTCATGTGAAGTCCACTTCGCAGGGCACTTACGGTCGAATAAGACAACGCTTGAATGCTGCTGCCTGAACAAGAGACCTCCTTACTGAAGTGAAAGTGTTGGCTGGTGTCACTATCTCGCGAACGCGCCAGCGGATCTCCACCAAATTCGGGGGATCCCTTCAGCTCGAGGAGCCCTCTCGAACGCCACCCTCCGCGCGTCGGTAGCCCCCCGGGATCGCTAGATCGGTCGGCGCCGGGCCGCGAATTTAACCACCCGTAACTCCCGA